ATATATCTCCTTTATGTACGAAACTAAACCCAATAAATTGTGTTACCGGTTTACATACCGATCACATAGCGGTGAAAATCACTTAGATTGGTGTCATATAAAGTATATCTTCCATACCTCTGATTGTTTAGATGCGATTTTTTATATATGTAAGCGCTGCTCTTACTTGTTTCCTTTCATTTTGTATCAATGCCACTCTTCCTAATAATTAACTGCCGGTTTCACCAGTATTTTCAATGAAAACTGATTTTTCGCTTCTGCCAGTTTTTCATATTAAATTTAAACAGAAAAAATTATTTGTCACTACATAAATAACTTTCATAAAACTGGCTTAAGTTTTTAAAACGCATTAAAGATTTATTTATCGACAAGTGATAATTGTGCGGCAACTCACAATGAAAATTTATTAAATATACCAAAGTATACATACATACATACATACAAAGGATGTTTATTCATTCACATATATTATAACTGACACTTTGAATAACTTTACCTATTGCAGCAAACAGGTGAATTATGTAGTTTATTTGTCATGTACTGGTATTATCATAAACAAACCTATAATAAAAATTGTTGTTAGGAAGCGTTTAAGTTGCCGCCTGTCATTTACTCTGGCTGCAGTGTACGGCCGAAGTGCAGCACAAAGGCTGTGGCTATGATCTCGTCTGCGTTTAGTGAATTACTAAAGGTCTCAAGCATTAATTAGTTCCCATCAGATCTGCCAGGGCGGGAGAGGGAGGGAAACCGTATAACTGATTATAAGGGTAATAAAAGAGGAAGAGAATGCTGCCATGGCAAACGTGTCTATGAATGAAATTGCAAAGTTAACGTTCGGAAATGCATCATCACAAAAATTTTATTGAATAGCGGAAAGCACCCTGCACCTGCCCCACCCTGTGCACGCTTGTCTGTTTTAGCGCAGACACATAAGGTTCGGACCTCGGCAGGAAGTTGCTAACGAAATATTTTCGCCCCATTTCTTGCTCAGCGATTTCGTCTTGTTCGCAATATTGCCCACCATTCGTTTCGAAATTTTAGCTAAGCCAAACACCATCAGCAACTTTTACATAATGCACTAACCGGTAAACGGTTTGACAATCAGCTGAAACGTCAACTCAGCTGTTAACATTTGGCCAACGCAGTTGATAAACAAATAATTTTTCTGCAAAAAATAATCTTTTTAATTGAATAAAAGTGTATCATAATGGATTTGGAAAACGAACGAGTGCTTAAGTTGATATTTCCTGATGGTGTACCAGGTAGGTAATTAAAAGAATCTACCGAAACAGTATTATATCAACTACATACACATTTCTAGAGAATCTCCGCGAAAATCCGGAGCTCTATAGCTACCTAGCCAATTTGGGCACCTACAAAGTCGAGCAGCTGAAGAAAGAACAAACACGTTTGGCCGACGAAACCAAACGCATTGTCGAGCAGACGCAGGATTTAGCAATTTCAAATTACAAAACATTCATATGCACCGCAGAGAATTCGCGTTCAATTTTCACTGAATTCCAAAACGCCGAAGAGCAAGTGGGCACATTACTGAGCAAGTTGCCATTGTTTACGGCAGAATGTGAAAGTTTTCTAGCCAAAGCGGAGGATATTAACGAGAATAGACGCATAAATTCAATAACTTTGAAGAAGAATGCACAGCTGTTAGAGATACTCGAGCTGCCACAGCTAATGGAGCGCTGTATACGCGAGGGACGCTACGAGGAGGCGCTCGAGCTGGCGAGCTTTGTGCAAAAGTTGGGACACAATCATAGTGACATACCGATTATAAAGGTGGGTGATGGTGGTGAAGGTTATAATGTAATTAGTTAACTACTTTAGGCGTTTTATTTGTTTTTGTCCAATTATAGAGCATCGTGCACTCAGTAGAGGCGCTGTGGCATACAATGCTGGTGCAATTGGTGGCACAGTTGCGTAGCGATTTACAACTGCCCAAGTGCTTGCAAATTGTTGGCTATTTACGACGCATGCAAGCATTTGGCAATAATGAATTGAAACTGAAGTTCTTGCAAGCGCGCGATACTTGGCTTATAGGCACGCTGAAATCGATATCTAAAGATGATGGTAAGTATGTTGTGAGTTGATTGAATTTATTGTTAATTTTTAATATGTCCTGTGTAATTTAGCTCAACAACATTTGACCAAAACCATTGAGGTGACACGCATCAATTTGTTTAATATTATAACGCAATATCGTGCAATATTCCCGGATGAAGAGCCTAGTTCTGTTACCGTCGTCAAACCGTTGCAAGGTGTGAGCTGTGATGGTGAACGGCTCTTCCAGTCATGGCTGCATAGGAAGGTAATAAAGTAATGGAATACGAATTGAATGTTGTTGTTGTACCAGCTATGTATCTTCTAAGCCTGCGACCTTTGTATATGTAAATGACGACCAAAGGGGTTCAGCAAATAACGCCAGTAGTAATATATGCTTGAGCAAGTCAAAGTCCGCCTATTATATCTATGAGAACAACAACAACTAATTTTACATTTTTAATTCGAAATCCTTTATTAATATTAAATTAATATCAATAATCATCTACAAAAATTCTCTTCCAGATTGATGATTTTCTCCAGACTCTCGAATCCGATTTGGAACGCGGTGTCAGCTCCTATGACACCGTACTTGGGCAATGCATGTACTTTGGCCTATCATTCAGTCGTGTTGGTGCCGATTTTCGTGCGCTTATGGTACCAATCTTTCTACGCGTAATCAGAAAGAATTTCGAAAATGCCATCTCCAAGGTGAATCAAAGTTTCGCACAAGAACTCGAACGCTATACGCTCATTAATAAACCGACATTGCATACGCGCGCTCACAAAGTGGACACAACTAGCGTCACTATAGCGCAGGGCAGTGCAACAGCACAAGAACAAGAATTATTTGCACCGCCGGAAACTTTGCTCGACTTTCATCCGCTAGCCGCACTATGCAATGGCTACTTGAATGCACTCAACGAGTTACGTCTTTGCGCGCCCATCGCCTTGGCGAATGATGTAACGCGTGCGCTACAATCATCACTAGAATTTGTGGCTACCAAAGTGCTCGGATTCTATAGGCAAGAACAGCAGGCTTTCACCAGCGCAGAGCGCGAGACATTTGTGAAATTGTGCTCTTGTTTGGCATACGATTTGATACCCTACATGCAGCGTTGCATACACGCCATATTTCCACAACAGACACTCACTAACCATTTGGGTATAAATCTGCTGACATTGGAGCAGCAGCAGATCACCTACTTGCAACAACAAAAGATATTAGAACCGCTTAAGCATTTGCTACCAAACAAAATGCCGGATGTATTGTTGAAGCAAGGTCAGACGAAGTTGGCGGAGGCAACAGAGGCGCAACAAAGTGCCGCGGCGGCCATCGCTGCAGAGGGATAATCGCTTGAATGGGAAATCTGCAATAAAAACTAACATAGATACATAACATACATACTAATGATACATAAAATGTCTTAAGCCCATAAATTAATAAAGCAAAAATAAACGAAACAAAGCACCAATCCATTGACAAAAACAGCCAAAAACTCAATTATACGCTACAACTGACCACAAATGTCAATTTCATATGTATGCCTCGCCATCAGCGAACCACCCTCACACTTCATTGCATCCTCCCACATATAAGGCGTGTATGTATTGTGTGTATATGCATGTTTATCTATGTATGTGTGTTTGCCTGCACACCACTACAAAGCAATGGTAAATACACTATATAATGTAATTTATGAATAACAATTAAAAAGGAAAAATTAGCCACATGAGCTGAAGCGCAAACAAGTTGAGCCGGAGCCGCAGCAGCAGCAGCCACCCACTCATCCAATCAGCCATGCATACTTCCAACTATACATACATCCAACTTTAGCGTCGCCCTTGCCCTCATCTTCACATTCACATTTCGTTTTTGGTGGCTCATGATGGTCGCTTACTAGGAAGTTTTATTTCACTACTTTAGCATTTGTGCTTTGGTCATCATTTTCTGTGCAGCTGGTGTAATAAAACTCCCCATTTGGTCATTTGGCAATTATCCCGATAAATTAGCAAAAATAGTAGCGACGCCAGCAATCCACAGTGTCCAAGCTTCACACATATTCACATGCACACATACATACACACTTCTGTATGTCCATAACTAACTGTCAGGACAATAGCTGAAAAGCAAATAAATGAGCAAAATTTTAGCGGCGGCAATAGAGACAGCAGCAAGCGACTGTAGTCCATAGGTTCGTGCGTTTGTATTTTCGAAAGCTGACAAAATCGACGAATGAATGGACGAGTAGATAATTTTCACATTTATAAAATGAACAATGCACTTAAGTAGCACCAAAAATAATGGAAAGGGAGGGGAAACTGGATCATAAACGTTGGGAATAAGCAAGTGTTATGAAAATGTTTTCGAATAGCTGTTGGCATGTAATTACATATGTATGTATACACAGATAAACATTTTGCATTTATTTACTTGTATATTATACTTTTATGTATGTATGTATGTACTATTTATGTAAAGGATTCAATGAACTGAACTTATGTATCTAAATATTTTTGTTAGACAAGATTTCAAGATAGTTGATTTCCAATAATAATATCCATACAAAGTGGACTCCAAAATAAACTGGGTTAGGTCGTCGAAACAATAGCCCTTGGTCGGAAAAGGCTCTAGTCATTCCGGTACGTAGTACCGGTTGTCGTGGAAACACATCTTGAATTTTCCTTAGCCACCGGAGGCAGTATCCCTCCGAAAATGGAATTGATGATTTCTGCTCGATTGCATCTGAGAACTTTTTCGCTTCTTCATTCTTTACCACCTTGATGAAGAAGGTCACGCTTCAACCAGGTATCCACGATCCACGTCTATGGCACGCCATTTCCAACGGTGAATAATCCGAAAATCCTGCCTGATAGTCTGCTCTCCTTCTCCGCGCACACAACCGCAATTTTCAATAAAGTACAGAGCCGCAACATGGTCGTTAAATCGCTCTCCCGCAGCCGCTGGGACAAAGAACTAGAGACATTGTTGGCAACATACAAGGAAATTGGTGGCCGACGGCTAGTTCAAATACTACCTACGAGACAGTACAACAAAATGTTCAGCTAGAAGTTTTGGTTGGGTGCTACAGACGTGAGCACATAAACAGTCCTTTGCTTGCTTTGCGGAGCTTCCACCCAGGCACGTCATAAGGCATCTGTTTGAGTACAAGGACGCAGTCGAGACCTACATAGATCCAATAGGCCCGATTATGAATAGACAAGAGATCAACGGCATTCATGGGGAGTCTGTGACTCTCAACCTATGAATGCCGTGATGGGAGCCTAAATTCCACTCGTTGTAAACATCGGGCTTCAGCTGCCACTTGAGATACGCGTCACTCTGCCCCAGTTACGATATGGATACCGTACCCGTCTAAATAGCTACCAATCCAGACTCGGGTCCGATATACCCAAAGAGTATCCAGCATGTAGAGATTCCCCCCACGACAACGATCACCTCTTCACATGACCCCTCTAGCCTACTCAGCTGGCACCCCTCTCTCTCTCTCTTATAAATTTTTGTCGAAACGGATCATTTCCTTAGTCTACTGTTAGTTGAGCTTAACGACAATGATTGACGGACAAACCGACATAGGTGGGGCTTAGCACTGCCACTACAACAACAACAACAACTAGGGCTTTACCCTGCCGAGGTTTATTTTTTCGATTCTTTTTTCGTTCTGAAGCAACATTTTGAAGCAGTTTCTGATTATTGTAACAGCAAAGAGGTTTTTGGAAATGCTTCTGGAATAAGCCGTGACTAGATATACATATGTACATAAATGTGGGTCATTCTGGTTACGCGTAGGCCCGACTATGCGCAGGATTTATTCGCACTATTCTGCTTAGGGCTGGCATGGAGTTCAATCATGAAATAGAAACCTACTTCTGCTGCGTATGTCAGGGACTTCGTTTAGGTGCAACACATGCATCAGATGGAGCCAAAACCTATTTTGGCCTTGGATCACATTAGAAGTGGACCACACGGTTTGTGTCCCATATTACCCGGCACACAAGTAGTATCTACGGATGAACGAGCAACATAACTCCTGCTCCAACTCTCTCTGCCCCCTCCAATCTTCATCCCGCTTCAAGTTCCAGGTGAGGACAACCGACAGCTCCTCGTATCTCACACCGTAATGAAGACACTTGACTCCAGGTAACTAACTCCCTTAAACCTAACCGTCCCTTTAGCAGAACTGTTCGTTAGCCAAATGATTGAGATATCCTCCCTTAGCGACTAAAACGATGAACGGCGTATCAGTCCAGGATATCGTGTTGCACTGTCGTATCTCAAATACGCGAGTTACTAGACTGCTCTATAAAAGACAACATAGCATAAATGAAAATAATCCTATCAAAATAGTGTTGAAAAGCAAAAACGGTCTGTAAAGTAATAATTATTTATTTAGGCTGAAAGGACTGAAGAGCTGAACCTTCCGTACTCTTACGCCAAGGATAATAGCACTGAGATAGCATATGGTTTATGTAGTAATCTCTTTCGATGCTATAAGCTCTTATTTCCACCTGTGAGATATCTACAATTATTGCAAGGTTTGCCAAGCATGCGTAACCTCTTTCTATAATCTTGCTGTTCCACAGGACGAAAGTGTTCTCGCGTTCAAACGAGGCCATTAATATTCCCACCGTATCCTTTGTAATTCGTCTAACTTCTTCTTCATACACAAATTACCCGTTGTTTTGTCTAGAATATCTGTGGCGCTTAAACAATTTCGAATTTACCATCGATTCGAACTACAGAGTAAGGGCCCTGGACACCAGCGCCATCTATGTTTTGGGTAAATTTTTTGCAGAAGAAGTTCTTATGATAGAGTTAATATCCATTAATCCAGGTCGTACGATAAAGACGTTCTCTCTATTGACTCCAGCGCTATCCGCCCATTTGTATGCATTTACCATAGATTTTCACATCAAATTTCAAAGTAATGTGAGTTACGGTTCCGAATTTATAGCTGATTAAAAATTTCACGCCACGCCACCTTGTCAGAGTCTATTTTTTATATCTACCCTATGGTATGTCCGATGTTACTGTCTAGCCACTCCATGAAAATCCATCTGGGGGAATTATGACCTTAAGCTCTGTGACAAATTTCGTTTTGTTCGGTGAAAGGACATGACTACCTCCCATATATTCTTTTTCTCAAAAACTAGATTTTAGCTACCGCAGAATAAAACTTAATGTTATGCCAAAATTATCAATAAGACTTCTCAATCAATCCCCGTAATTTCGTTTTGACTTTTTTTTTGTTTTTTTGACACAAGATTTTTATATATTAGTTTTTTTTTGCCTTTGTAAAAGTAAAAAATTTTGATTTTTAAATGATAAATTTCCAATTTCCGGCAGAAAATTTTAAGTTTTTTTCCTACTAATTGTTAGGTCCCTTAACGGAGTATCAAAATGAAAAATAAAAATTGGCCTACTTTTTATTTATATAAGCTTTTAATTTTGGCAAAATTTTTAAAAATTTAGGGTTTCCGCAAAAAAAAATGTTATTACATACTACCAATTTTCTTGTTATTGTTTGTCGCTATTTAATAAAAATTTCACACTACATCGAAACTAGAGCTTCATATTTTATAGTATTAAAAAAAAATAAATTTAATACCTTACTTTCTTCAATTATGGCAATACCATAAACTTAGCTCTTTGTAACTTTTTCTGAAGCTTTAGAAATATGGCTTAAAAAAATATATGTATGTAACTTTTACATTTCCAATTGAATTCCAATGAAAACATCTCAAAAGTTTTCGACAGTGCAAACAACTTTGCCATAAAAACATTTACCAAAAATTATTGCTGTTTTTTACACATATAGTAGTAAACAAAACTGTAAGATTTCAAAGTAGTAATACACTTAGAGCGTGTGTGAATCGGTAAAAAAGTTCGCGGCGAGTACATTTTTTGACAACTATGAGGTGAATAAGATTTTAGTAGCTCATGAGGCTCATTAAATTTTTGACAGCGCATAGAAAATTCTGACAATCGCAAAGATTGTTGATGTGTGTAATTTTTCGTTAAATAAGAGCTTAAATTGATGAATTGCAATCAACGATGGCAGATGTTTTATTAAAATAATAATTTCGCTTCAATTTGTAATATTTTATTACGCATAAATTTGTGGTTATCAAAAATTTACTGTTGTCAAAAAAAAATTTAATTTCACATAGCAGATTGGCAAAACTGTCTCACCATAGTAAAAATATTATTCAACAGCGTTCCCCATAGAACTTTGTGTTACCGATTCACACACGCCCTAAAAACTGAATTTTTGACAATATTTTTTTTGTGACACAGTAAAAGTCGATTTTCCGTTGAACAGTTGTACCTCAGAAATTTTCTGACTTTAGCGCACTCTGCTGTTAGCAAAAAGGGGAGATGATTAATTAGACTTCCAAATATATTAAAGGTACTAAGTTAGCTTTACAAAAATGTATATTACTACTTAAATATTCTAAGAACTTTATTTGATTTTAATTTTGCCTATGGGAGTGCATAAGCCACAACCTATCTGGAACTAAAAAGACATTTTATGTACATATCCACAGAGGAGCCTTTGTATTAAGTTCGTTTGTGGCCCTAAGAGGTTCCAAATTGACATGTATACAACTGCTTACATACATACCGTACCATAAGTACCGGCGAGGTCAAGTGTTGGGGTATATTTGACTAACAAAAACCGCGGTGTTAAAACGGTAAATTGAAACTGACGCATAACGAACAACTAAAACCTATTCAAACTAAATGTTGCAAAGTAAAAGCAAAGCAAAGTGCAAAGCAATTGATTGGTTGGATAGGCGTTTTTTGAAGCTCTAAGCGGCGTAGGGGTATGCATGCATGTATGCCACTGTGTGCGGTCAGTTCAAGGCGAGTCAATATTTATGCAATTTCGCGCGCAATCACTAAAATTCCACGAAAAAAGCGACCAAAATCCAACATCACAACTACAACTACAGATTTTTCTTTCTTTGTACGCCACTATTGCCAGCGCGCTTGGGTCGCGTATACGCCCCACTGCACCAAGGACAACGAACGAGGCAACGTTATTCATATACGATATGCAATTTCGCGAAATAAATGTGTATGCACACATACATATGTAAATATGTTTACATGCATACACACATATGTATGTACATAGATGTGCGTAAGCAAATGCATTGGACATAGACAGAGAGAATATGAGAGTAGCAGCGGGAAATTCGCAAATATGGAGACGATTTTAGGCCCACATGCGTAACGAAATTTGTTCGGTGCATTGTTAGTGAGTTGTTGGTTTGTTGACTATGTATGTGTGTGTGTTGTGGGAGTCTGTTGTTTGTGCTTATGTTCGCTATGTGTTTTTAAGTCCACCACTAAATATACACGAATGTAAGCATTGG